CACAACAGAGGTTTATATATCAATAAAAAGGACATCTTCTGTTTTGAAAATCATTGTCCAATCATATGAGTCATGAAGCAGTCATAAAAATATTATAGACAAAATTTCATGAACGGTGATCGAAATTTGATCTCAGACATATTATATTAATAATTCACCTGAGTCAGCCATCCCCATCCCCATCACCTCGAACACACACTCAACATCTAACTCTGCAGTCTGAGTGAGAAGTGAAGTTACCAAGTGAACAATACTCTTTACTCACATATCAAATCACATCACACCACACCACACCACCGATCACCTCTCTCTTAACATGACATTTGCACTAACCATAACCAGTAACAAACTCCTCTCCAACAGTTCGTATGATCATCGCCACTAATTCTCCTCGAAATATTACCAAGACAATTAAAACCAACCGACCAACTTCGCATTGTGTATAAACTATTTAAAAATGAAATTATAATTATAATTAACTTTACTTCTTTGAGGGCACACATTCCATTCCCATCGTCAACTACTACTCACCGTAGTCTTACCACCTTTTCACTTCCACTGTCTTTCATGATGACCATGATGATGATGACCCAGTAGTCTCTCACACAGCATATTCAACAAGCCTCGAGTAGCTCATCGACCTTTCTCATGTCAATGAAGAATCTGTGTCCATAGCTCTCTCACTCGCTGCTGTCTATCCTGATCAGGAGAGCTCACACGAATAGACGAAAATAAGGAGGACGATATTGATGCGATTCGGGTGGTGTGACACACTGGTCATCGCCCTGTTTTCTCACGCCTTTCCCTACACTACTTCAGTCTCTCTTCCTCTCAATCCTCATGCCTGCCTGCCTGTCCTGTAAGTTTCACAAGCATACATCACTAATGTCATCCAATTTCTCATCTTCCAATTCAGCCTGTTCCAGTTCAGGCAGTTTGGCTGTTGATTCATTGATAGACTGATCAATCGATCGAACGAAGGCGTAGACTAAACATTGTTATGTTATATTATGCGATGTGATGTGAATATATCATAAAAATAAAGTATTACTATATTTCAATAGTTTACACACAATGATAAGTTTTGTTGTTGGTAATCTTTCGAGCGGAATTACTGCCCGTGTTCACACCACTGTTGGAATTGTTTTATTCACGCCAGTGACTACAGTTTTATTACATTGCTGGGTCATGAAAATGTGGTTAACTTCCCAACTCGACAAGATACTTTGCTTGATTTAGTATTCATAAATGATTCTGGAATATACGAAGCTCGTAAAAGAGCTCCACTCTCAAACTCTGATCACTGTATTGTACGAGTTCTGCCCAAAGTTTACGGAAAGTAACACGAAAAGCCTTCTCTAACTTGTCCAAGAAAGTTGTTCACAGATGTTACTCAAATGAGAATGTACAACATCTTAGGAACATGCTCAGTGACACAAGATGGGATCTGTTTAATGATGTTTCACTTGATGACACAATCTCTAATATTACGTCTTATCTGAAATTCTGTTTTGAAATCTGCTGCCCAAAAGAAACACTATTCGTCAAATTCGACCGTTTCTCCTCCCCTCAACTTAAAAAGCTTCGTAGAGAGAAGGAAAAGCTATATAAAATGAAAGATAAAAGTGGTGTAAGAAGAACTAACTTCCTTATCAAGTCTGAAATGCAGAGATTGAATGTTACATATAACCAGAAATTCATATCCTGCAAAAATGCTTCAAATATGTGGAAACTATTTAAGGGAATCACTGGTGGTAAGCAGATTAACAATATTCCGTATTCTTCTGATGTATGTACTCTTAATAAATCTTTTATTTATTCTCCCTCAAATTCCATGCTTCCCAGTATCACTAGTGTTAATAATAGCCCCTTTCCAGGTTTTAACACAAATGATGTTCAAAAGTGTCTCAAGTCTCTGAACCCTTCCCAGAGCTTAGGTCCAGATCATGTACCTAGTATTATTTTCAAAAAATGTTCTGATATTCTATGTTACCCTCTCACTGATCTGTTTAACAAATCTTTTTCCAGTAATACTGTGCCTGCTGTTTGGAAAGACATTAAAGTTGTACCCATACCTAAATTGTCTACTGGAGCATGTGTCAAATTTACACCCATTGCTATTACCTCTCCTTTTTTGAAAACTATGCAGAAACTACTTTTACTTAGTCTTGTACCCTCTCTTAAATCCTTTAATGACCCAAAACAGTTTGCCTGTAAGCACAGTAGAAGCACTTTAGATGCAGCCGCCGTCTTATATCATAACATTGCTTCCAGTCTAGACAAAGGGGCTAAATTTGTTCGTTGTGCCTTCCTAGACTATACATCTGCTTTTGACTCGGTCCCTAGGGACATCTTGTTAAATAAACTTGCTGTAAGTCAAACAGAATGTTGGGCTGCTAACTGGTTACATTCTTATTTCTCAGAAAGAAAGCAGTACACCGTATATAAAGGGAAGTCTTCGACTTCATTACCTACTGAAGCTGGTGTCCCTCAAGGCGCTGTCCTTTCTCCTTTTCTTTTTTCTTTCTTCTTACATGACTTGCCTCAGTCTGATGAAATAAACTTTGTGAAGTACGCTGATGATTTAGCTGTTTCAATGGCTGTTAACTCCCAGCTAGATTGTACCAAAATAAATAGCTTTCTGTCGGAAGTCAGTAAATGGTGTGAGTCTAACGGTCTTAAACTGAATCCTTCTAAATGTCAAACTGTTAATTTCAGCTTAAGATGTAAACGACAGTTAAAAGAAGCCGTCGATTCTCATGGCAGTTGTAAGATTGATGACAATGATATAGGAATTAAATCAAAAATTAAGTATCTTGGACTTATTGTCTCTTCCGATCTCTCCTGGTCTTCCCATGTCTCAGCGATCTCCAGTAAAATATTCCGCCTGACATTTTACATTAAGAAGTTAAGGCACTCGGGTTTAACTCAACCCCTCCTCTTACAGTTCATAAACTCTTGCATCCTACCTATTCTTCTTTATTGTTCACCCCTGCTTATTCCTTCCTGGTTTACTTAAAAAGGACTTTGTCACAATTCGTAGAATGCTGAAGACTGTCAGTAGGATGAGTGGTGTCCCAGTGGACTACATAGTTAACGTCGTTGTCGATAGGCATTTGACTTCGTGCAGTAAATTTGCTAAAGGGATTTTGTTTGACTTGGAGCACGCACCACAGCACCCTCAGCTTTCACCTTGCATCTCCTCAGGTAGAACAAGAAGTGACTTCAGAAAACAGTATGCTCGCACATCTAAGTATAAAAATTCTATCATACCACACTTGGCCCGTATTTTATGTGATGAAAATAGCGTCAGGCAAGAATTGACTAACTTTTTTTCATCTAGTAAATAAACAATCTCCTCCATCCATCCTTATATGCCTTCAAGTTTCACTTTTATTATTTCTATTATATTTATGGTCCTGTTGCTTCTTTGTTTTTACTTTCATAACTGCAAACACCAACTTATCTCTATGACTGCTGTAATCTTTGTTTTTTCCCTCACCATATCATGTAAAGAGAACATTATATTCAATGTTTTTAATCATGCAAGGATTTGTATACCGCATTGACAATACTGTGTGAAACAAGCCCATGGAAATTTTCACTTGTATTATTATCATTATTATTATTTCCATTTTATATGCTGCATGTTTTTTATTTTTTTATATTAACCCTATTGTAAATGTGGAAAATTTTCTATGTGATTAATTTTATTTATAATTTGAGGAAATTAGATGCAATATTGTGAATAATGCTGAAAATTCCATTCTGTATCACAAGTACTGTTTTCAGAATAAAGTAAATCATTATTATTATTATTATTATTATCATTGTGTGTAAACTATTGAAATATAATTATACTTTATTTGATCTAATCCACAATGCTCAAACTTTTTACGGGCATCATGAAAACTTCAACATCTCGTTTTCCACCAATCATGAAGTAGACATGAATAAATCAATGAGTGAATGACTGAATGAATGAAAAGGATTGAAAATCTGATGTAGACCATAGAAACACGCACACACACACGAACACGCCCACAGCTAGACAAAGAGACACAGAGAGAATGAGAGAAGTGGTCATAACCGCTTGCATGCATGCACGAAAACAAACAACAGGCCGATTATTCACCAGTAATTTCTACATTGAAATGGAAAACAAAACAAATCACAGGCTGCAACAAACAACAACCAATGAGCATGCTTGGTTCCAAAATCCTGTGACCTCAATCACCAGAAAACAAGGCCAACATGTCTAGCCAACACTCGTGTATGACCTTGTGACGAAAACCACTGGAACATCCAATGACAACCCTTCCATATACATACACCTATGATAATAAGTTAGACACTGTCTCTATATAATATCAACATATATACAAAAACACGCAGAAATATACCAGAGAAATACACTAACCGAGAATAACACCACGACATACTGAAACAAATTACGGAATATCTGCAAAACCTCTCGGTTATTATAATTATTACTACTACTATTATTATTATTACTATTATTATTATTATTATTTATCATGGCCGATACATCTGCGACACAGAATGATGAAGCAGTCAAAGAACAAGCAAAGCCAATCACACCACCGATGACATACAAAAAGAACGAGGTGAAAGAATTCACACAACTACTAATCAAATACAAGAATATGTTGACGGACAGAGAAAGAAGTCCGCGATCACTGCTGATGAAGAAAAACATGTGGGTGCGATTCTCAGAATATCTGCACTCGAAAGGATATCCGAGACGACACTGGACTCGACTCCGTTATAAGGGATGGAAAATTCTGAGAAAGCTGAATCTCACCATGACAGACAGACTGGCCCCAGTGTGTCCCGATATTCCGAAGTCTTCTGAATCCACCTCTATTCATCACGTGGTGGTCAGTGGTAATGGAGATTCCCATGTCAGTGGCCAGTACACTTCGGTATGTTCACATTCCATAACAACATGTTAATCCTATTGAATGAAGGTAGGTAATGTTGACTCGAGTGTTCGTCAATTGAGTCTGCCGTTACTGACTCCCTCACCATGTGTTTGGATGTCACAGAGACCCCACATCAATTCGACGCCTTCTACGGTCTCCACTGACACGAATCCTTCAAACACGATGGGTCTGAGAATCTTGAACGCCTACTCAATAGCTCTTATCCCCCAGAATTTGTGTGTTCCATACGACTCAGTGGAGAAGACTGTGAATCGTACGAATAGGAGCGACGAGTTGAGTAATGGAGTTCGAGCACACAGTGGAGTGAATGAATCTGTGAGTGTTTCGAATGGTGTTGGTGAGGTGAAGGGTTGTCGTGTTGGCGATGTGGGAGTTGATGAAGGGTGTGTTGGAGGAGTTGGTTCTGGCGTGAGTGAGACTATTGATTTGTCGTTGTCAAGTGATGACGAGAGTTGTGAGGAGATGGATGTGAATGGAGTTGGTGATGATGGAGTGGGGAATGTTGATTCAAGTGACCGGGATTATAGGTGAGTAATGATATTTGTTGAGTTAATTTGTCCTACATGTTCTGTCATGTGATGTGACGTGATATAGTGTGCTGTGCTGTGTTGTGGTGGTCCTCGTTGGTCACTTCTCTTGACTGGTCCCAGATTGTCATAGAAGTGGTTATAGACATATCAAACGAATGTATTGTCTATTTCTGCAGCTGGAGCAGATACTGATTGCATCTACGCAATATATTACTAAGGGAGAGCTTTGATTTTGAGAAGAAAGTGTCTAAAAGATCATCAGTTATGTACGACTTACCAAGTTATACAGACTTCCTCATATAAAGTGGTCCCATGTGAATGTATAACCGTCAATAGCCAGCCCGTGAATACTTTTCCAGAGTTATTATCCCTCCACACATGCATGTTTTTTTCCACCCTGTCAACAACACATTATCTACAGAGAAGTGAAAAAGCAAATGTAGGCGACACTTTCAAAGAGGATTATGACTAGGAAGCATTTGTAATGCTGAGCTATCTGATTAGTCAAATCAAGGTGATTTAACTTTGGTGTCTATTGCTTACTGTTGCTGTAATTCGTCAACTTTCTCTATTGACTGAGATTATTCGTGGATTTTTTTCATGGATTGTTACTTCTCTGACTTCACTGTGACTTAGTCCGTGACTAAATGACAATTATCTCTGAGATTACTGTTCAACTAACTTTGTATATATAAAGGTGTGAATAAGTGTGTGTGTGTGGGTGGGGGGGTTGGGGGCTTTGAAGTAGAGTTACACGGAGGGATATCTTTCCTGACTGATGTGTTTGTAAGTTACTGGTTATTCTGTAGAAAAGCAACAATAGAAACTGGTCCCCCTATTGCAAACGTTATTTATATATATGTCTAACGACCCAATGAATAAATGAATCGATGAGTGACTGAATGAATGAATGCACTACCTGAAGGTTTAGTACTGATTAGCGAAAGGAGATAGAAAGAGAGGAGAAAGGCTGAGTTACTTGGAAATATGCTGTGAAATATCCTGGACTATTGCATTTAAATAGAATGAAATGTTGAGGTTTGTTTGGGACATAGATTTTAGTATTTCATTGGGTAGTTTGGGTGAAGTATGCATTGTGAGGATGTGCATGTTACCAACAAGCAGGTGAAAGCGAAGGCAGAGGAAGTGCAGGAGGAGTAGGAGGAGGACGGTGACTACGGCGACGAAATGACGTCCGACTCAGTTTGTGTCATCGAGAGCTTATTTAACAAGAGACATCTAGGTACAGAAAGAGTCGAAAGGAGAAGTGAAGTTGAGAAACGTGCAACGAAGGCATTTGGCACAGGAGTTGTTGACATCTGTTTCGTCGCGTATTGGTACTGTGCTCTGATACGTTTCATCGATACATATTGTTTATTCATGTGTTCGTGTGAGACCGACTTAGGGAGAGAAATAGACAACGAGTGTATCGAAGGTGATTCGTACAATTGGTAATGAAGTTAAGGTTAAGGTGGAAAGTGTGGAAGTGGGGAGGTAATTGAGAAGACTACGGGATTGTTTGTTGTAGGTGGTTGTGGATAAGTTAGTAGTCGGACATGATATTGAGGAGAGACAGATTTTGTTGTTGTTGTTGTTGGTGGTGGTGGTGTTGAGTGTTTCGACCTGTAGTTATGTGACCGTTGTTGTGGATTTCACAACTTCTCATACTTACTTGAGTTATTTTGTGAGGAGTAAATAACAGAATTTTCTCTCCCTGTAGATGTGATGTGGATGAGAGAAGAAGACGTGAGTCGTTACTGTTTGAGAAGAAGATGCGATGTCTGGATTTGGAGATTGAAGCTGCGGAAATGAGGGTTGAAAGTATGAGAATGATGAAAGAATATTGGTGTAGGAGGTTGAATTCATTGTCGCAATCTTGAAGACAGAATGAGGAAGGAAGTACGCGTAAATCAGATATCCCTAGTTTTTATTAATTTCGATATTTATAATAAATATTTATATGTATGTATTCACTAATGATGTCTTTTTGAATGAGTTACTGTAGCGTGTAATTTGAAAATAGTTTTGGTGAGTAATGTGGCATGTATTGTGAAAGAGAGCATGTGTAGCCAGCCAGCCAGCGAGCGACTTAGTTGGCTGGCGTCCTCCGGTGTAGAAGGTGTTCTGGGAAATGTGAGTTTGATTTTGTCTACTTATGATGATGGGAGCCAGCCCGACGATGTGGGTGTTGTGAGTGATTGAAATGACGACGTGGGATTTGTTTTGACTGATAGTTGTTGTGCTTGAAACATTGTGTGTGTGTGTGTGTTTGTGGTTGGGGGGTGGGGTGGGGAGTACAGGTGATGAATTTGTGTTTGTTTTGTGATTTCGATGATTGATAAAATGTGTTTAGGTGAGATTAATCGTACAGTTGCTGTTGTTGTTGTTGTTTTTGTTGTTGCATTGATCGAATGGAAATGGATTGTGATGAGGAGAAGAGACACGTTGGTTAACTAACCATCCATGCATCGATGCGTGTATCCTGTGTTAGAGAAATCGGCCTGATGAACTCATGATATTCAGCGTAAACAAGTGAGTAGTGGGTGAAATGTTCATGTTGAAGTGTGTTGAAATAGCAAGACTCTGGATAGAGTCTGTGTTAGTTAGTCAGTTTGTTTAGTAAGCTTTGATTTATCAAATGATAGTTTGGTTAGACATCTGGTGTTTTCTCGTGTGGCTATATGAATGTGAATGTGAATATGTGATGGATGATGGGTTTGAGGCTGAATATACGGAGGTCAATGTATTTTGATGAGATGTTGGTGGAGAATGATTTAAGAGGTTCATGTTCACTGACAATCGAGGTGATAGGATCATGTTCAACTAGGTGTTATAGTGTCATGATGATGAGGGTAGGGTCATGATGCATCGAATCGTTTGTGTAGTTAATAATTCCTGGTCATATTTATTCAGTCAGTTAGACGGATGGATGATTTGATTGGTGTGTGGAGAGCATAGTTGACTACTTTTCTTATTCTGCGTCTGAACCTTCATGACTTGTGTTCGATTTGAATTGTATTCATGCTGATTGTAAACTTGAGATGAATAATGAAAATATGCAGAGAATGTAGAGACGAGGAGGTGGAGGATTGTGCGTGTATGTGTGTGTGTGTACTGCATTCTGTAAGTGCATTAATTGATTGATTGACTGATTGATTGATAAATTGGGAAGACGAAATGTTTGTTCGTAGAGGCGTAAAAATGAAGGATGATGTGATGTGATGTGATGTGGTGTAGTGTGGTGTGGTGAATTTAGTGAAAGAGCAAGGCAGATCATACGTGAATGTCATGGCTGAATGGAGTAATTATGAATTTGTTGATTGCACACAAGACTAGGTCTACAATATTGACTGAACTTGTTCCTTTCTCACACAGATCGATGATCAGTGGTTGGTTTAAGCGAATTGCAACAACCTCTGCTGCTTCTAGTGTTCAGTATCTAGAGGCATTTGGCATGATAGGAGAAGATTGTTCAATGCTCGTTTTCTGGTGTGTGTTGGACCAGGTGGTCTAGTATAGTATGTAAGTAACTGTTGATGGCTTCTGCTACATGTTTATTCAGCGAGACTGGTAGGCATTTGCAAACATGAAAATCAAGTAGGTAGAGCGATGGCCAGTATAACTTATCTGTCCGCATAGGAGTAGTTGTATTGATAGGAAGAAGAAGAAGAAGAGGTGGGAAGCCTAGGTACTTGGTCTTTCCGTTGAGGAATATCAGTCAGTCAGTTTTTTGAAAAATATGAAATGTGACTTGTGAAGATTAGAAGTCCCCTGAATCAATTTTCCTAACATGTTGGTTATTATTTCACTTAGTTAGTATGTGAGCTTTGAATTTCTTTTGCATAAATAGAAGCTTCTAGTTTAGAGATAGACGAGAAGAGCTGTTTTCGACTTTCTTGACGATGTAGTTGGTGATGAATTGTTCGGGATAGCTACTTTCGTTTAACGACTTCTACTGGGATCCCAATACTCATGGATTTGTCATTTATTAGTTCACATATGTAGTCAACCGTTTCCAAGGATCTCATAGCTTCATTGTTCGTGCTAATATCACTGACTTTGTCTACACAATCGAACACATCCTCGACATCGTACATCAGCATACATTCATCTAATGGTGACAACCACTCAGAAGGACAGAGAGAGAGAGATAGAGAGACATGGAGAGAATGTGGTAGGGCGAATTCGTTCTGTCCAGAATTGGTCTTTATGAAACGGAGTGTTTCTGATTCTGGTGAATCCCATCATCACGGCATTTATGTGGGTTTATGTAGATGTGAGTCGATGGTTTAGACTAGTGAGAAGTATTTCCTCTGCCCTCTTTAGCTCTTCACATCTCTAGTGAGTGAATCCTCTGGTCTACGGCTCGAATGCTGACGTGTAGTTTTGGGAGGAGAATATTTGTACAGCTAGTCAGTCAGCCAGCCAATCAGTCAGACAGTTGTTGTCGATGTTTTTGTATTGTTTGGAATATCCTAGTAGACTGAGGAGTATGAAGCGTTGACGAGTAGTGACATGTGGATGTCTGACTGTGTACAGTCAGTCTGCAAACTCGATGGGAATATGTTTGTGAGTGTTGTGGTGTTTGTATTTATCGAGTGAGAGGTGGTGACATCAGGCGAAGAGAAATGACTTTGATTTACTTCGAGTTGATTTGATTCAGTGAGCTTATGGGATGCTCATCTTTAGTCGACTGCTTCCTCACTCATCAACATGTTTCGTGTTCACCTGTAATAGGAGCAATCAGGTGGATTAGAAATAGGCCGACTTCTTCTGTTTAGCGGAGAATAGGCACGAAATCATTTCCGTCATCACATAGTAGTTATATTTGATGAAATCCACACAATGAGTAATACAGTATTATATCTGGATGACATGTCGACTGCAATTTATTAGTCATAATCCTGTCAAGGTGCTGACATAACATCGGATGTTGTTTCTATACTTCTATTATCTCTTATCCTCTGATTTTATTTCCGGTATTATAGCCGATATCTCTGTTATTGGTTCAGCTTATTTCGTGTGACAAGTGATCTGTGTAAATTTGGAGAATAAGGGTTCAGTTATCAAATTCGCCTCCCATCTAATTATGTTACTTTTTATATATGTGAATTCCGACCTATTATGTGACTGAACTGTGTTAGTATTGAATTTCCCTGTAAGCTAATAACCTTCTTGAGGTCGATAATCCTGAAATCTGCAAATTTCCTATGACCTGATATCTGCATGAAAATAGATAATCCTCCCCGAAAGGTATGGTGGAGAAGTATGGGTAACACGGTATCCACGCTGTTAATAACACAACATATCTATAGTTAATTCACACTTAACAACTCAATATTGGACGGAGTGGCGCTGACATTTGAGTTAGAAAATGAAGAAGGAGAATTAGCTATGTGAGAATGTCATGTGGAAGTGAAGAGAAGAAAGTATGATGGATAAGATTTGTAGCAGAGATGGATGGATGATTTCGGTGCAGTTGTGTTCCCTGAGTTCCATGGTTCAGTTGAGAATCTTGAGTTACCTACCCTTCTACACAACATCCTCAGAGCACACTTCAATGTGAGGTGAGGTTTACAATTTCTCCACGAGTTTATGAGTCATCTGTCCTGGACACCTGGAGTGATATTGGTTGCTTTCTGTGTGTTTCCTCACCGTCTACTTCACTTGTATTGCTTGGTATTGATTGTTTCGTTGACTTGCAAGATGACCGTTGATTCATGTGATTTCCTTCTTATGGATTGGTAAGTCTTGTCTATGTCGGTGTGTGTGCGTGTGTGTGTCTGTGTGTTGATTGGCGATCCACCTGTATACCAGCAGGCTTGTAAAAATTGTCCAGCGTCTTCTCGTGTCTCCTCTGCATTTTCATGGATGAGAAGACAAACAGGGCATCCACTATGGCCAGTGCAATGATTTTTCCCAGTGGTGAAGTACACCAGTGGTGAGAAAGGAAAAAGCCAATCCACTTCACTAAACATTTAGACTTGAAGTCATCTTGTGGTGTGTGTGTGTGTGTGTCTGTGTGTGTTCTACTGACGAGATTTATCCGTAGAATAGAGAAGCAAATTGATAGGAAACAGTCGGTCAGAATTGAAAAGAAACTTTTCAGTCTATGGTTGAAGAGATAGAAGTGTTGATTGCTCAAAACTAGATTAGGTTTACGTTGTGGTGATGAAGTAATCTCACTGGACAACTGTTCGTCTGTCTCAAGACTTAACCTTCGTCAAATTGACAAGCGATCAGAATAGTAAGATATCCACTGACCAAGAGGACATTTAATGTGGTTACAAATACATGCATTGGGCGTGTTTCCATTCTCCAATGAAAATGTTCGTTACTAGATCTCCTGTATTCCCCTTTTTCAGTCTCATTCGTTAGGATTGTTCACTTCAGTGTCGCTGAGTTTTATACGAATTTGAAATAATTAGTCGTCTTTTTGAATTCAGCTAGACAGAGCAATGAGAAGATGTAATTTGTCTGAATCGTGTTCAGTGTGTATTTGTGGAACACATTTCGAACAATCTGATCACACACATGGACTTGTCATGGGAATATACCCATATGAAAATAAGAAGAAGAAGAAAAAGAGTTAAGGGGTGGGGAAATTGACTTAGATCAAGTTAAAAGGACACATTGAAGGTGAAATTACAATGAAGGTCACTAAACGAAATAACAGAGGTAATAGTACATCTACTCTGGCTAGTATCAAACCAAAGTTAACCAAGGAAGGTAGGTTTAGTGTAATGACGAACTGTTTTTGAAGGCATAAATGTGGTGTAAACTTCTCAATTGTCAAGGCTTCCACAAACACCTTCTATGCATGTGTTCAAAAGACGTGTAAACATTAATTTTATATCCTGTCTCTATAATAGTGTTTGTCAATAGACGAGCTAGGTCACCTGTTCTCACCATGAATGGGTTCTGGCGATTCTATTTGCTTCTGAAGCCATTTAGGAATACGCTGTGAAGACAGGTCTTACTTCCAGAGATCTGTGAGTCCTCGATATGTATGTGCGTTCACGCCTACATTCAAATTGGTTAGTACAGTGGGATTTGACGTCATTTTTCGCATATTTAATGGGCTTAGATACACGAATATACAGGCCTCACAGTCTCAATTATTCTGATCTCAGCTGCATCAAATGTCCTTCTGACGTCAATGTTCAACCCTTGTT